TAATAAGCATCTACTTCTGTGTCTGGGTTGGAATGGCCAATGGGAAACAGGTTCTCCTGCTTAGAACAAGTAGAAAAACTGCATAATTTACAGGACAATTTGTTCGAGGGCAGTGAGAAGTTGCTGTGGCAATGAGGATTAGAGGTAACTCAGTTTCTAGAAAGGGAGAAATCCAGATAGAAGAGGGAATTATTACAGCTCCTTTTACTTTGAGGGTATGTGTTGATTCTGGGTTGGCGAGGGTGGTGGTGGTGCTAGTGGGCTCAGGAATCTAGGATTTCTGACTCATGAAGCACTTGTAAGGAACAGAGAAACCAGTAAATCTTTTGGTGGAGACCTAGTGGTAGGGAGGAATGGGACTCAAGCTAAATTTCCACTCAGTACATTTTCATAGGGTTGTATATGTCAGGAGGCAAAAACATTTAAGGAGAAAACCTCTAAAAAACAGTGTTTTAGCAGTTTTGGAAGGCAGTGATTAGATTCAAGGTAGGGAATATACACAGTACACTAGGCTTTCAGTTGAGAACTCTGAAAGGCCATGACTAAAATGAGACCATGAGTACAGCCTAGCCTTGACTCAGCACAGTTCCTGAGTAGAGTAGGATGATCAGCTGCCACTTTATCTGCCAGGGGCAGGGAAGGGTGAGCCCTTTCTAGAGGAAGCCTGTACCAACTGGAGACTCTACAATTTTGTTTGATTATTTATTTGTTTACTTATAGTATTGGGGATTGAACTCAGAGGCGCTCTATCACTGAGATATAAACCTAGTTTTTTCTTTCTCTCTCTCTCTCTCTCTTTTTTTCAATTCTGAGACGGGGTTTCACTAAGTTGCTCAGGCTGGTCTTGAACTTTTGATCTTCCTATCTCAGCCTTCTGAGTAGCTAGAATTATAGGCATGTGCCACTGCATGTGGCTCTACAATTTATTTATTGACAGTTCATCTTTCACTAAAATATTGTCAAATATGCTGAAGATCAGTAAAATATATCTAAAAACCAAAAGAAAAAAGAAACAATAAGAACAAATCCACTTGACTCCGGTATTGGGGTTAGCTGAGAACTTCAAAATGCCTATGATTAGTATGTTAAAGAAAACAGGTAAAAATATGAAGAATTTCTCTAGAGAATTAGACTCTGCCCCCAAATCCCCATTAAAAGTCTAATTAATTGCTGGGAGTGGTGGCACACACCTGTAATCCCAGTGGCTCTGGGGACTGAGGAAGGAGGATTACAAAAGCCAGCCTCAGCAATTTAGCAAGGCCCCAAGCAACTCAATGAGACCCTGTCTTAAAATTAAAAAAGGGATGGGGATGTGGCTCAATGGTTAAGTGCCTCTGGGTTCAATCTCTGGTACTAAAAAAAAAAAAAAAAAAAAAAAGGAGGGGCTGGGATTTTGGCTAGGCGGTAGAGCGCTCGCTCGCCTAGCATGGGTGGGACCCTAGTTCCATCCTTAGCACCACATAAAAATAAAGGCATTTTGTTGTGTCCATCTGCACCTAAAAAAAATAAATATTTTTTTAAAAAAGGAACTGTGGACATGTGGACATAGCTCAGGGGCAGAGTGCCCCTGTGTTCAATTCCTAGTAGTAAAAACAAACAAACAAAAAACATGCCAATTAATATGGTACCAATGTACCAGGCAAATTAGAAGAGGGAGAGATTGGGTAGGGAAGCCAGTTAGGAATTTACTGAAGAAGTCTTGCTGAGAACAGCCTGGGAACAGACAAGAAAGGGCAGTTACACCTCAGTGTTACAATGTGACTTAGTGGTGAAATGGGTGTAAAGGGGGAGATGGCTGAAAGTGACTGAGGTTTCAAGCCTGGGTGACTAGACAATGGTGGTGCTGCTATTAACAGAAAGACAGAAGTTAGAATGAGAAGTTAGGTGGAAGGGAAACTCATAGTGAGAAAGAGAAGGCAAGAGAGGAGCTGACTTAACATCAAATCTTAAAAGAACATATGAAAAAAGTGTAAGAAAGAATACAAGAGGAAGGATAAAACTAAGGAAGTGTGGTAAACCTGTGACAACAGGGTGAGGGAGGCTAAAACTCGTAAGTCTGTCACAATGTGAATTGTGGTTGAATGAATAAGCTGAAACTTGTGAAAAATTCTTCTTTCTGTAACATACTGCTGTGCAGGAATTTTGCTGCTTGGAGATGTTATGTAGAAAGCAATAAGGAAGAGCCATTTCAATACTGTTTTTCTTCTCTTTTCTACACTAGGAGAGTGGTCTTTAATTTGGTGATGGAATGAACAGAGCTGAGAGAACAATGGCACAAAATGAGTGAAGAGTGGTTATGAGTGCCTAGCCACTTTAAAAGTGACTTCAAGCCCAGTGAAATATAGAACCGTGGGGGTTAAGTGAAGGGAGGATTAGCCTCAGTGTTGTAGTTTGTACTTATCTGTGTATACACAGGGAAGTTTAAAGCGTGGGCTTTGTAGTCAAATAGAACTAGGTTCAAATTCTGACTTGGCCATTTTGGTAGCTGTGTGATGATTGGTAAATCTCTTGGTCTCTTTACAGCTTTCTCCATCTGTAAAAATAAGGATAGCAATCTCTACCACACATAGTATGGTACTGTGAGGATTAAATGAGGTAAAGCATACAGAACACTTGGTTAAGTGCCTATATTTATTAAGTACTCCAAAAAAATGGGTATCTATTAGTCATGGGTCAATCATATACTTGTGTGTTTGCATGACAGAGGATTGATAAAGATAAGGTCTTTTCATCCCTAGGGCAGTGCCTGGCACATAGTGGTCAGTAAATATTGTTAAACAAAACAAACAAACACAGATGTTTAATTAACCCTGAGGTTAATTGCAGGGAGACTTTGATCTTGTGTATGTAAGCCAGGATGGAAGTGAATAGTTTTTCCCATCCTTACTTTTAATGGCTACATAATATTTCATTGCTTGGCCAATTATAGATCCTATAATATTTCTCCTATTTATATTTAATCACTTATATATTTAGGACATTTAGGTTGTTACCATTTTTTTTACCATGATAAATAACATGGAGATGAACATCCTGTACACACATCTTTGCCCCTTCTTCTGATTACTTTCTTGGGATACCTTACCAGTAAAAGTGCTGAAGGGTATAATTTTCTATAAAATTTATATTCACTGTAGCAGTGTGTTAAAATGCCAATGTATGTTTAAAATATTATATACTATAAAAATGTATTGAGGAAGCTGGGGGTATAGCTCAGTGGTAGAACACTTGTTAGCATGTGTGAGGCTCTGGGTTTGATCACCAGAACCAAACACACACACACACACACACACACACACACACACACACACACTGTAATGAAGACACATGTGAGAAATTCTCCTAAGTGATGTATCTTCTCCAGGATTCTGAGGAATTGGGTGGAGTAAATAGTAAACTGAGGGCTGGGGATATAGCTCTGTTGGTAGAGTGCTTGCCTCACATGTACAAGGCTCTGGGCTCAATCCCCAGCACCACACACACACACACAAAAAAAAAGTAAACTGAGCTGTTGGACACTGACAATCAGAACTGGTCTGCTGTCTCTGCTCTGCAAAGACAGGAGGTGGGTGTTCTTCAGATAGGAAACAGGAACTCAGTGGGTGGACCCTAAAAGGGAGTTTGGGCTTTGAAACAGGAAAAGAAGTTGGCTTCTGATAGAGAGACACAAGGCTGGGCTGTCCTGATCAACTACTTTCTACTAGTTCAAATCCTCATTCTTTTCTGTCTTTGGATTCTATTTGCAGTTATTTTATCTTGATATCTAAGTATTCCATTTTGTGTGTGTGTGTGTGTGTGTGTGTGTTTATTTCCATTTCAGGGAGTGACAAACCTCTAATTGTTCAAGTCAGAAACCAAGGAGTTATTTATTACTTACTCTTCCTCACTCCCAACATTCAATCCTACACTAAGTTCTGATATTTCTATTTCTCTATTTGTTTACTTTTCTCATCTTGACTTCCAATATTCTAGTCTAAGCCACAATGTTCTCTACCTTATTTTCTTGTTTCCATTCTTGCTTCTGCTAGTTTTTAGTTCTAATTTCTGTCCAAGGAATATTTTAAAGTTTTAGAGAGATGATATAATTTCTCATGATTTCTTTCTCTGCTTAAACTCCAAAGTCTTTAATTTAGTCTAAAGTTTTGCATGATTTGACCCCTGCTTGCTTCTTCAACCCCACCTATTGCCTTTCTCTCCCTCCTTTATGTTTTAGTCACAATGGCTCCCCCTCATCCTCCAGCCCCAGCTCATCATAGTGCTGGGGATGAAACCCAGGACTTTGCACTGAGTAACTCTGCCACTGAGTTACTTCCACAGTTTCTTTCTTTTTTGGTTGCATAATGGGTTTTCCATTCTTAATCCTTCCTTTAGCATTTTCCAGTCTTCAAGTAGCCACACATTCCTTTCCCTGCCTTGAGTGTTCTTCCTACCACATTTCACCTGGCTAATTTCCATTCATCTTGAAGATCTCAGTTTAAATGTTACTGCCACAGATAGGCTCTCTTATAGCAGCTTATTCTTTTCCTTTATAAACTTCTCACAATTAAAACTTTATTTATCTCTTCTATTAGAGAATAAGTTTCTTGAGGAAAAGAAAATGTCTATTTTGTCTTCATTAAATATATATCTATGGCTTAGTACAGAATCTGGTACAGACCAAGGGATGTTCATTTAAATGAACTATAATGTTTAGCAGCACAGTGTTAGGAAGGAAGTAGGTTTTAGAATATATTATTGTGGAAAATTCTCTGCCATTTAAATGGTAAGTTTGTAAAATAAGGGATTTTGAACTTTAGTATTATATAACTAAATTCAGGAATTATTCTCTATAGCATACAGTCAACAAAGGCAAATAATATTTATTCCAAGTATCAGAGTATTTCCAGCTTCCCTCCCTGTCTTCTTGAGGGTTGAAGCAGGTCTAGATTAGGAAAGGATTTGTGGCGATTTTTCAGAGGCTGGTACTTGTCTTCTTTCTCACCTGTGGACAGAATACTCACCAGAAGGCTGTGACACAAAGCATGAAAATGCTGCTGATTTGTCTCCAGCTCATCCCAGTCCAGCTGCCAACAGCTTGTGGGTCTGAGGATGAAGGGGAGTCCATATGTCAATGACTCGCAGAGTCYGCTAGATTTTAGAGCCCTGGGAAGAGATGATGGCAGAGAGAGAGACTATTCAGTGATATCTAGAACTTCTACCCAGATACACTTAAATCCAGCATAAGTCTAAGACCCCATTGTGAAAGCTTTTAGATTAGGATCCATGAATTATTCAGTTTTATATGGCCAGTACCTAGCGTGGCATCTTGCATACAGAAGATTCTCAAAGCTCAGGAATCTGTGCATGGGATCTGTGGAACTAGGAAATAGTAAAAGTGGCCTTTGCCATCATTGTTCATTCTACCTTAGAATTTCTAATACTTAGAGAAATGGGAGGGGCAGGGATAGAGTCTGTGTGCCATTTGCTCCTTGAAAATTGAATTTCTATTCTGATGTCTAAATATAGTAGGCATTCAATGAACATTCACTGACAATTAAACACCTTTCTAGTGATCATGCTTTTCCTGTGTTCAGAGACTTCTGGATTTCCAGTTCTCATAAAGATCTCAAAGTGTTCTGCAGCAGCGCTTCTTTCACCACCTCCTCTTTTCCCATCATGTGTTGAGTAGCCTGACCTTGGTTTCTCATGCCAAACTTGTATCAGCTACCTTGGAACTAGCTCTTGCCTGTCTGACACTTGAAAATGTAGTTTAAATCTCTGGACTTCTTAGGTATGGAACCAGTAATAATAGCATTTTCATAGATTGGGGAGATTCCTTGGACCATACTTGATTACTTGGAGTTTGTAACAAGAGGCTGAGGACTGGGAAGCCATCTGGTAGAGCGTGCTGAGGTCTCCTTTGGGGTCATCCATTCTGGAGGCACCGTCAGCTGTACCAGGGAGCAGGGATGGGCTGAGAAGTCGCTCTTGGAGATCACATTTCAGGCACACTATAGTAAAATTGGCATTGGAGGAGAGACTGTGGGTCACAAGTTACTTTGGGCTATGTCATTAAGAGAACATCTGCCACCCATTTCACTTCTACCAGGCAAAGGAGGGATGGAAGGAGGCAGGAGAGTGGGAAGAGGAAATCATGATTGGTTTGGGAAGGTAAAGCAGGTGCAAAATAGAAACAGTATTTCTATTGCTTTACATGATAGTTAACACATTTTCTGAATCTGACATGATTTTTACTTGTTTTACTTCTAGGTGGGCTGAGCAACTGTCTCACAGCAAGAGATCTGGCTTGTAATCCAGTCTGAGAGAAATTTGTGTCCTCTGTGGAGCAGGCAGCTAATGCCAAACATGCAGGGGCCTTTTGGCAATCACAGAAGGAAATTTTGTCTTTGCTGCTTCCTTGTGGCTAAGATTTGGCAAGATTGCAGGCCAGAAGAAGGAAGAGTAGGAAAGCAGAAGTCAGGCAGTCAGATGACTGCTACTATTTCTCTGTGGGCTCTTCTAGGGACATTCAGGGATATGGAAGGAATAAGTTTTTTTGAAATAGCTTATTTTTAATTTTTCAAAGAAACCTGATTATTGGACTTTGGGCCCTAGAGCATCACTCGAACCAGCATCAGACAAGAGTTCTGAGGAGGGATGAGACTGGGTATGAGCTATTTATCTAGATATTACACTCTTTGTCTGTATTTTGCTTCTGCTCCAGCAGTTATATCCTCATGTTATAGGGTTCAGTATTCCATTGCATTAGGCTTGAATCCTTGATATTAAAAAGTTTTCAATAGAACATACCTGAGTTGCATATTGACAACTACAAATCTACAAATGTTGAGTACTTGTGAGAAGGCTGGTAGTTGACAGGAATGAATTGTGAAATGACTAGTGAGGTAAAAACAAAAGTAGAAATAATATGGAAGAAAACAGTGGCAATATAAATGTCAGGTTCAGCTGGTAATCAGCTTATACATGGAATCCCTTTATCTCTCATGCCTTTGGACTGAAACCTAACAGCTTGTGTTCACTGGATCCTGAACCCAGTGAATAAGATATAGATATTAATTCTGGGTGAGCTATCTCTTGGCCAGGTATCTCCTAGAGCACAGAAAGTCAGTTGGAGGGACTTTTCCTAGGATTTCAGCTCCCCTCATTTCCTCTGTGCTTGACTTCTCCACTTCTAGTCCCTCGTATTTAGTACTGGGCAGCTGTGTTCATCTAGCTAAAGTTTTTAATGATGGTTGCAATGAAAATCACCTAGAGAAATCTGCCCTGCCCTGTCCCGTACTGGGGATTGAATCCAGGGGTACTTTACCATTGAACTACATTTCCACCCACTTTTTAAAAAATATATTTTTTAAGTTGTAGATGGATATATAATATCTTTATTTATTTTTATGTGGTGCTGAGGATTGAACCCAGTGCCTCACACATGTGAGGAAAGCACTTTACCACTGAGCTACAGCCCCAGTCCCTTTTTCCACCTACTTTTAAAAAATATTTTATCTTAAGACAGGGTCTTACTATGTTGCTGAGGCTGTCCTTAAACTTGTGATCCTCCTTCCTCAGCCTCCTGAGTAGCTGGGATTACAGATGTGCACCACTGTGCCTAATTTCAAGAGAACTTCTGAAAAATATTGATGTCTGGGTCTAAACCAGATCAATTAAATCATGATCTCTGGGGATGAAGCCCAGATGTATGTATTTTTATAAAGTTTCATAGTGGTTCTCATTTATTTATTTATTTGTTTTTTAGTTGTAGTTGGACACAATATCTTTATTTATTTATTTTTTATGTGGTGCTGAGGATAGAACCCACAGCCTCGTACATGCTAGGTGAGCACTCTACCTCTGAGCCACAATCCCAGCCCAGTGGTTCTTTTTTTTGGAGGGGTACTAGGATTGAAACCAAGGTACTTAACCACTGAGCAACATCCCTAGTGCTTTTTTATATTTTATTTTGAGATAGAGTCTCACTAAGTTGCCTCATGAGCCACTGGGATTACAGGCATGCACCACCATGCCCTGCCCTCATGTGGTTCTTATTGCAGCTAGGGCTGAGGACTACACAGACTGGAAAAACTGTTTAGCAGGGCTTAGATCTAGATGCAGGCATGCTTCTCACCACCCAGAGCTGAGGTGCAGAGGTGGCAAAGTCCATACTGGAGAACAGGAAAAGACATTAATCTGTGACTGCCTGCATGCTCTGTTTGCCAGAGCAAGATCTCTAAGTGAAGCTCCTAGAGATGAGTTCTGCATTCCTCCTAAGAGCCTATAGTAGGAGAGTTCACAGTTTTTGTTTTGTTTGCTTCATTTATTATTTTTTGAAGTAAGACACATGTCCACAACTCCATATGTGAGGCAATGCTTTTAGTTTAAAAAATAATAGCTGAGTACAGTATGATTTTTATTGTGGTTGTTTATAATTTCAGTCAGATCACATCACCCTAGAGGAAGCCTAATTTCCCCTAACCTCATTCCAACTGTGTCTGAACATCTGGGCTCCAAGGATGATGTCTCCAGTACACCAACTGACTGAAGTCTTGGTCTAAGTTCTACATGTACCTTAAGATTTGAAGATTCTGAAACATGATTACAGATGGATATGAACATTATGACTCTGACTCTGGTGTTGAAAGCCTTGGAAAAAGGGTGTGGGGGAAGCCACAGAAATTCTGATTAGCATTATAGGCAGATGTCATGTAACAGTGGAGGAAAGACTGGTTGTAGTAGGGTCCCCACCCTCCTAATGAGAAAAGTGAACCTCTAGCTCCTTTATTCAGAGTTGTCTAGCATGGAGCAGGTTAGTGATGGATAAAGGCTCGGGGTCTGGAGGCAAACAGATGTGCATTTTGATTCTCTGGGCTGCAAGTGGTCAGATGTATGAAATATAGATTTTAATCCTAAGGGTAAAGAATGGGCCCTGGAATTGTCTAGCTTCAAATGGTGGCTCTGCTATTAATTTTTCTATACACCCATGGAAAAGTATTTAATTTCTTTGTCTCAGCTTTCTCATGTATAAAACAGGGATAATATTGTACTTAATTGATTTGAAGACATATTTCCCTCCTCACACTATCTCTATATCTGTCTTACAATTGCCATTGGCCAGACAGACATTCTTAGCACTTACTACTCTAATCTAAAAGAACTCTCTCAATAAAGATAAAATAATACTTCTAAGTAACAAGGAAACACTGTTTCATGTTTAATTGGCATGTTTTCTTTCTTAGTGGTACATAAAATAGTGATGTATCTTCTAATCGATAGCATCTTAGATTCAATGACATATGGTAATAGTACCTGCCTCATTACATCATTATAAACATGAAAAGGGATAATTCAAAGAAACAAGTTACCATACTGCTTGGCAGAGAAAGAAAATTCAATAATGTTAATTATAAACTAGCTTCTGTATAAAGTCACTAGCTACCTGGAGGGAAGCAGAGTTCTGATGACTATCCCTAGCAAGAAAGGTCTTGGGAAATCATAAATTTTATTTAATTATACCTCCAAAAGGCTCTTCCCTGTCCTGAAGTAACAATGGTCAGAGCAGAGTTCTATTACAGATGAAGAAAAGAGAACAAACATAAAACTCAAATATACTGCTAATGGTCAAGAAAGAGCCCTCAGAGGAGATAGAAACCCCAGTGTATCATTTCAGAGCCTGTGAGAAGGGCTCCAGGAAGCATCACATCCCACTTAACCTTCAACCCTCAGTGATGTCTGTAGCCACTACCAATGTTCTATTCAATCCACTTTATCCTTTCCCTTAGAAGCTGGTCCCTAAGCAATTGGCTTTCTCAAGCTCAGAGTGACAGTATTGATTGCAGGCCCTGCTAACTTAGTCCCTGAGCCAACCTTCAAAGGGATCGGGAGAATAGAAATGGCCTCATTTACTATCTAGTTAAGTACCAAGATCAGCCAGAACAATATGCAGAACCTTGATGGCATGCCTGGAACATAGGATTGATCTCTTAGTTTCAATTATTGCCCAAACTGCCTTGGGAACATGGTCTGTGAACACTAGTTGTTCTCCCTAGGGCTTGCCTTTGGAGTTGCTTTAGTTTTCTCAATTTTGTACCTGCCTAGAGAGATTTCTATTTAATATTGGCTCTTTTCCTCTTACCATAGGTCCTGTGGATATTGAGGTATCAAATGACTCAAATTATAGTGCCAATAATGTTTGCCACATTAAAAATGAGAATACTGAGAAAATATATGATTGTGTTCTTATGTAGTGTAGCTGATGACCTATCATTGAGGTATCTAAGGTTTTGCTCCTAAACTAATTGGCTCTTACTATCTGGGCTTAATTAGGTCTAGCTTTTTAACTGTGTTACTTTTTTTTTAAAGAGAGAGAGAGAATTTTAATATTTATTTTTTAGTTTTTTTGGTGGACACAACATCTTTGTTTGTATGTGGTGCTGAGGATCGAACCCGGGCCGCACGCATGCCAGGTGAGCGTGCTACCGCTTGAGCCACATCCCCAGCCCTAACTGCGTTACTTTTAAAAAGTTTTCTTCTTAATCTTTGTGCTAACACTGGACAGCCTCATCCAATCTCTAAGCCTCAACTATTCTGTATTCTGATGATTCACTGAACTACAGTCCTAATCCTAGATAAGACTATTTATAACCTATATGATATATCTTTGGTGGGTTGTGTACTTGGATTATCCCTGGCACTGGAAATGTTGCTGAAACACTGTGAAGGAAGAAGGAGATGGATGTGTTCTTGGTCTGTTCCACTGTTATGCAGCCAGGCTTTGAAGAAAAATTCCATGCTGATAACATCGTTGTCTATAATCTGAAGTTCAATGTCAGTTCCCAGGATAGAACTCTCTGCAGAAGACAGGGAAGTAAATAGTGGTTAAAGTGTTAATTTTTAGACTATAAAATCTGAAAATATAAAATTCAAATGTACCTATCTTTTGACCCATTCATTGCATTTCTAGATATCTAACCTAAAAATTCTTAGACAGTACACAAAGAGATATATGCGAAGATGTTCAGGGTATCATTGTGGTCATAACAAATAATCAAAACCCCAAACAGGAGGCAATTCCAGTGTCCATCAATAAGGGAAAGCTTAAATAAATCATGGTACACTTAAACTATGGAGTATTATGCAGCTGTTAACAATGTAAAACTAAATGTACTGACATGGAAAGCTAGTAAATAAATAAAGTGAATAAATGAAGTTTTTGTATAACAGATATGATTCAATTTGTACAAACAAAACCATCTGCCTAAGTACATACATATGTATGTACTTGTAAAGTGCACTTTACAAATATCTAGAAGGCTATCATCAAATTGTTAACAGTAGATAGGGAGGGGAAGTGGGGCAGGGCTCTGAGATATGTTCCCTTTTTACTATTCATACTTCTGCATTTGTTAATTTTATTGTAGTTGTGAATTTCTTGTGTCTAACAATATTTTAGAATATAAAAAGGAAAGAAATTATACAGAAATGTAAGTTAAATAGTTAATAAGGGGGATTTTGACTTTATGCTATTATTTTATAGTGAAAATATAATTATTACTTCTGTCATAAGAACAAATTTTAAAAAATTAAAAAAAGAGAAAAATATGAACCACTGGGCTATGGCAAAAAGGGATTGGCCTGGTGGAGTGTGATTTAATTCCAAATTTGAATGAGTGATGCTGGGTAGTGGGGTAACGAGGTTTTGTGGTGTACTTCTAGCTTCAGGCAACACTATCTCTGGCATTGGTGTCTGGGTTTGCAGATAAAGAATGTTAGTGAAATCCAAATATAAGGTGATGGAGGAAACAAAGACAGAGGAAATGAGGCAAGAACTGGAAGAAACTGAAGAGGATCCTGACTTCCTTGACTTCATCATGAGGGACTCTCTGAAATACTTTTATAAAAGGCCTAAGAAAAACCAGTTGCTCTAATGAATTAACTTCTGTGTAAGCTGGAATCCAAGGGAGAAGGCTGGTTTATTTCTAGAACGACATTCCTGAGGATAAGTAGGTAGTGGTGATAGACTCCACAGGGAACAAAGGGACTTTAGTCCAACATGTTGGTTTCAACACAGGAGAGGAGTGGAAAGAGTTAGATGACTTCATGTATTTAATGCCTTATCCTGTGGCTCAAGGCGAGTACCAAATGCATTTTTCTGTGACCAGAGGATTAAAACTACCCTTTTCCATGGATAATTATGGGGATTCATCAGTTAACTAATTATTTCATTCATTTCATCAGACATAAATGACATTTTTTGCCCTTAGGAATTTATAAAGCAATATTATTATTGACCATTTCTCCCCAAAGTCTCATCTGTCCCATTATTATGTTTTAGGTTAGTATAATGATAAATATAAAGACACTGCCAAACATTCCTTGTAAATAAAGAGAAGCATCCTTAAAAAATAATGTGAATATTATTTTGTCACTGGCAAAATAAAAAGTAATTTAATTTTTCCAAGGTTGTTGCCTGGATTTTGACTTGGGCAACAAGGATGGAAATGACTTAGTGGCTTCTCTTCAGTGAGGTAAAGTAGTTACTAAAGCACACAGGGCAGTTATAGACTAAAGAAATGGAATTAAGAAAAGGAGCTCTGGAAGAAGAGAGGATAAAATTACTTAGAGTTCAAATGATAAAATTTTGGAGAAGATAAAATAAGTGTAAAGGGTGGAAGATTAGAAACTCCTACTATGGGTGATATAGTGGGGAAAATACAGTTGTAAGTTATTAAGAATCTGGAAATAAGAAAAATAGGGGTTTCCTCAGATAGTTAAACTTTAAAATCGACACAGAATGGTCAGGTCAATGAAAACCAGGTCCCCTAAGAAAGTAGGATGTCTTATTGACCTGAGCAAGACTTGGCATAGCCTTATTGATGGTATTGACATATCTAGAGGATGAATGTGTCTACTGGAAGGGGAAAGATCTGGTCAGAAATGAGCACAGAGAATTGCTTTTCTATTCTGGGTCTTTTATTTTTCCAGATGAATTTCATGATTGCTTTATCTATTTCTACAAGAAATGCCTTTGGGATTTTGATTGGCATTGCATTAAACCTATAGAGAACTTT